ATTTGATTAGTATAACAAATAGCAAAATATAAACTTGCTCTAGCTCTATAAGGGTTGCAAGCCACCTATCCAACAATTTTAGTTGCTATGATCACTAAACACACAATTTACTATGTCACTACTCACTAAGAGCTCTCACAATTGCTACACTTAAAAGCTCCACTAGATGAACTTCAACTACAAAGCAAGCTCTCAATTGTAGCTACACTAAAGAGCTTACTATAACTAGTTTGCAAGAATATAAATGAGTGAGTAGGGTGATTATACCGCCTTGTAGAGAAGTGAACCAATCACAAAATGAATACCAAATCAATCACCGGGAGAATACCAAAGGGCAAGAGACAACCAATTTTTCTCCCGAGGTTCACGTGTTTGCCGACACGCTAGTCCCCGTTGTGTCGACCAACACTTGGTGGTTCGGCGGCTAAGAGGTGTTGCACGAACCTTGTCCACACAATTGGACACCGCAAGAACCTACCCACAAGTGAGGTAACTCAATTACACGAGCAATCCACTAGAGTTACCTTTCGGCGCTCCGCCGGAAAGGCACAAGACCCCTCACAATCACTACGATCGGAGCCGGAGACAATCACCAACCTCCGCTCAATGATCCTTGCTGCTCTAGGCCGTCTAGGTGGCGGCAACCTCCAAGAGAAACAAGTGAATCCCGCAGCGAAACACGAATACCAAGTGCCACTAGATGCAATCACTCAAGCAATGCACTTAGATTCTCTCCCAATCTTACAATGATGATGGATCAATGATGAAGATGAGTGGGAGGGCTTTGGCTAAGCTCACAAGGTTGCTATGTCAATGCAAATGGCCAAGGGAGTGAGCTAGAGCCGGCCATGGGACTTAAATAGAAGCCCCCACGAAATAGAGCCGTAGTACCCCTTCACTGGGCACAACGCGGGGTGACCGGACGCTCCGGTCATATCGATCGGACGCAGGACCCCAGCGTCCGATCAACAGATGGCTGCCACGTCATCCCTCTCTTCAAATACTGAGCGCCCGATCCCAACGATCAAGTGATGACCGGACGCGTCAGTTAGAAAGTGACCGGACGCTTGACCTCAGCGTCCAGTCGTTTCCAGCAAGGTTCCAAACATGAATTTTCACGATCGGACTCTCCCAGCGTCCGGTCACTCAATGTCTCCTTTGTGCGCCCCACGCCAGCGTACGTCAACACTGACCGGACTCAGACCCTGAGCGCCTGGTTAGATTTTGCCCCAGCGTCCGGTCACAAGACCGAGACGCGAGCTCACTGTTGTCACTATCCGGACGCACCGGTCCAGTAGAGGCTAGCGTCCTATCACTCCAGTGAAACTCTATCTTTTCTATATAGGGCGCCGGTGGCACCGTCGGACTGTCCGCACTCTACGGGCGGACACTCCGTCGGTGAAATTCCTAACCCTTGCTCAAATGTGCCAACCACCAAGTGTATCACCTTGTGCACATGTGTTAGCATATTTTCACAAAACATTTTCAAGGGTGTTAGCACTCCACTAGATCATAAATGCATATGCAATGAGTTAGAGCATCTAGTGGTATTTTCATAACCGCATTTTGATACAAGTTTCACCTCTCTTAATAGTACGGCAGTCAAACCTACATGTGATCACACTCGCTAAGTGTCTTGATCATCGAAACAAAAAGGCTCCTACTTTTTATACCTTTGCCTTGAGTCTTTTGTTTTTCTTTTTTTCTTTTTTTCGAAGTTCAAACATTTGATCATCACCATGCCATCACCATCATCATGATCTTCACCATTGCTTCATCACTTGGAGTAGTGCTACCTATCTCATAATCACTTTGATAAACTAGGTTAGCACTTAGGGTTTCATCAATTAACCAAAACCAAACTAGAGCTTTCACCTTATCGTTTCTCTTCGTCTCCCCCCTGTTTTCCCCCAATCCTCTCCGTGACTCCCCTGTTCGCTTGCGCGTAGCGCAGGCGGTGGGTCGGCAGCCGCTGCCGGTGCGTAGCGCAAAAGTATATCTAAGATGTTGCATGTGTTGAAATGATAATATATGCATGTTGTAAGCGTATGTTTTCAGTGTTTCATGTGTTTCAGACGTATGCTTCAAGTGCTTTTATCTGTATGGCCCCGTTCGTCTTACCTTATAATCCAGCTTATTCGGCTTCTTTTTTCAGCCGGAACAGTGTTTTCTCTCACAACAATTCAGTCGGAACAGTATTTTTTAGCTAATTTTAGCCAAGCGAACGGGGCCTATGTTGCAAAAATAGATCTAGGTGTTACATATACATGTATGTTGCAAAAGTATGTTTCAAGTGTTTTAGGTGTTTCTTAAATACGTTGCAAATGTCATGCCGTTAGCCATTGTGTCGGTGCAGAAAGTGACCAACAAGTAAATATTTGTAGTTTTGCCGTACGTTGTGATCGAAGGTGGCCTAGCACTCAATGACACAGGGTTTATACTGGTTCAGGCAACGTGTCCTACGTCCAGTTTGAGTCGGTCGGTAACTTTATTCCTGAGCCTAGGTGCTCGAAGTTTGCAGTGGGGTTACAAACGAGAAAGAGAAAGATGGGGGGTACAAGAGGTCCGGTCGGAAGGGCCGTGAGCGACGGGAGCTCCGCTATGAGCTAAGTGTTCAAGCGTGTGCTCGTGGTTTAAACCTGGTAGTTCTGTTTTTGTGCACTAGTGAACTTGATCGATCTAATGAATCTGGAATGACTTGAATGAACTGGAGGGAGCACATCCCCTGTTATAGATGAAGGGGATAGCCTTACAAGTGAGAGGGAGGGAGTACGTTTGCTGCTAAATCTTGCTGCCCACGCCGGCGGGTACAAGACGATGGTAGGCACCACAATACTGTTGAGTGTCAGATGCATGTTGGAGGTTGCGTCGTCTTCTTCAGGTATGGCAAATGTCGGTACTTGCTATACTGTTGATAGGCACGTGAGGGGTTTTACCATGTTCGCCCGGTATGGTAAATGCCGGCGCCCACAACACCGTCGATGCCCAGAGGCATGTGGGGGGAGCCTTACCGTATGGGAGTTAATGGTGCCCACAATACTATAGGGGGAAATGTCGGCGCCTACAACATTGTTTGGACTTTGTTGTGCCAGAGAGGTTGCAGAGTACTATTTCTGCAGGTGTATAGGGTACGGTCCCTGGTATCGTGGTTTGACTTGTGCGCCCTGCCTTGCTTTCTCCGTTCGTACCCTGGTCCTTTCCGAGCGGACGTCCCCGGTCGGTTGGTCCCAGTCGGTTTGATTGCGCCAGTCGGAGAAGAGCTGTGAGCAGGGGTTTGGCACATCCCCGGTCGGAGACGCGGGTCGAAGTCGGAAGTAATGCTTTGGCCAGACCTTTCGGTCGAAGAGGTCGTCCGGAGGCGGGCTGAAGACCGAAGCGAGTGCTCTAGTCGGAGAGGTGGGCCGGAATCAGAAAGCGGGCGCTGTTCCTCCTCGGCTAGGCCTCCCGGTCGGAGATTCGATCGCCCCCTGGCCTGTCATTTAGGTACTTGGGCCGACCCATGAGTTGTGTGTTTGTCTGCTTGGGCCGGCCCATGAGTTGTGCGTTTGTCTGCTTGGGCCGAGCCTTTATTAGGAGGTCGGTCCAAGAGGGACCGTGGGTTTATGAACCCGACACATTGTGTCAGAGATTTTTGTCGTTTGTTGACACTGTTTTGCAACAAATCTCATTCCATTGACTAAACGTTGTTGATCTCAAGCATTTCTAGCACACTTGTGACTTAAGGGGATGTTTGGTTCCTTCTTCTAAACTTAGTCGATGTCTCATCGGATGTTTGATATATGCATAGAGAAATAATTATAGACTAATTATGAAACTAATTGCACAGTTTGCGACTAATTTGCGAGAAGAATCTTTTAAGCCTAATTAGTCCATGATTTGACAATGTGGTGCTACATTAAATATGTGCTAATGACGGATTAATTAGGCTTAATAAATTCGTCTCGTGGAGTACTGACGGATTCTATAATTTATTTTTTTATTAGTATCCAAACACCCTATACGACACCCTCATATGACACCTACTAAATTTTAGTCACCCGGAAACACCCCTAATATTGGCAGCTTAAGGTAATGTGCTGCTTTATTATCTTGTGTGCATATAATATTCGGCTGTTGTACCAAACAAATTTACTGCGCGCACTTGCAAATATGGATACGACTTTATACGACAGTAAACAATATATAGGGGGAAAAGATCTCAGCAGGTACTGTACAGTACGAGTCAAAACGGAACCTTTTCCGCCCGTTCATTCGCTGAAATATGGTAGTAGTGCACGGCCGGTGAGCACGACCTGCACGTCCCCAAACCGAGACCGCAGAGAGGAAGGAAGAGGAAGTGTTCAACAACATTTCCCAACACGCCCAGAATCAACCGCACCTGGCGCTGGCGCTGGCGCTGGCGCCACATTCTTTTCCCCGGTCCCTGTCCAGCTTCCACCACACCAACGATGCGAATTGCGAAGAGCGAGAGAGTCAGAGGGGAAAAGTCCAATCGCGACTCCTTTGCTTGCTTGCTACTAGTACATGTGTGATGTGTGGTGGCCGGCGAGTGAGCACGACCAGCCCACGGTCAGTAGCCATCGGCCACTACCAGCCGGTGGTGGCTCGGGCGCGGCCCCTTTAAATGCCGGCCATACGCGCAGCCCAAAGCCTCCAAACAAACAAATCCGAAGCTGCCTCCGCCCGCGAGCGCGCGCCCACGGTTTCCATCCACCCCCCGCCGACTTCCCACTTGCACCGGCCGGTTTCGCCGAAGGACGACGAAACCGCGGAGACTTGTATATAAAGCCGGCCGCGTGGCGTCCGGTGCTCCCAAGACCTGGAAGGAGCGAGCGAGCGAGGGAGGCGATCCATTCATCAGCCACTGAACACCACCAGCTGTCCAGCTCCGCGCGCGGAGGTCGGAGGTCTACGACGAGGCGACGAACACCAAGGCTCCGGAGTCCGAGGGGAAGGCCCATCAAGGAGGCAGGCAGGCAGGAAGCGGGAAGGCATCGGGAATGGGTGTGGCTGGTGACGCGGCGGCGGCGGGCAGGAAGCGCCGCACCGGCACGCGGTGCGAGCTCTGCGGGGGCGCGGCGGCGGTGCACTGCGCCGCGGACTCGGCGTTCCTCTGCCTGCGCTGCGACGCCAAGGTGCACGGCGCCAACTTCCTGGCGTCCAGGCACCTGAGGCGCCGCCTGCCGCGCCCAGCCGCCGCCGCCGAGTCCGGGCGGGCGTCGTCGGCGTCGTCCACGTCCAGCAACTCCTGCGTGTCCACGGCCGACTCCGCGGAGTCAACCGCCGCGGCGCCGGCGAGGGCGGCGGCGGCGTCCGCGGGGAGGGCTCCGGCGCGGCGGCGGCCGCGCGCGGAGGCGGTGCTGGAAGGGTGGGCCAAGCAGATGGGGTTCGCAGCGGGGCCCGCGCACCGGCGCGCCGCGGCGGCTGCCGCCGCGCTCCGGGCGCTGGGCCGGGGCGTGGCCGCCGCCCGCGTCCCGCTCCGCGTCGCGATGGCCGCCGCGCTCTGGTCCGAGGTCACCCCCGCCCCCGCCTGGTGCCGCGGAAATGGAGGGGACGCCGCGCTGCTCCGCCGGCTGGAGGCCGCCGCGCACGTGCCGGCCAGGCTGGTGCTCACCGTCGCGTCGTGGATGGCGCGCGCGAGCTGCACGGCCGCCCTCGCGGCGGACCCGGATGGCCAGGACCACGAGGAGGGATGGGCCGAGTGCTCCTGAATTCCTGATCCAGCCGGGCCCACATCCGTTGCTGCCGCTGCTGCACCTGCACTGTACGTAGAAAATGTAACAACAACATGTGGGCGACGTTTGTTTGTTCTTTTCCTCGCTAATTAATTATTATTATAACCGATAATAATAGGAGTATACGATCGAGGGTCCAAGAGATCGTGTGGTTGGCTGCCTGTCGTGCTATTAACAAAAGCCGATTTTATTTTATTACACACATACACACTCATGTGGTCTGGGAAGATGCTGTGGTGGGGGCCAAGGCCAAGGTATTGGCTGGATATTTTCTTTTGCTAATTGTGTGCCTAATGCGTACACATCAACGTTGTTAATCGGGACTAAACCCACATGCGGACCGTGTGTGCTAGCTTCGGCGGCAAGAAGGTCTTCTGGATGCTTTGCTCTCTCAACCATGATTTTTAAAGGGAGAGAAGAAAAGGGTCGCTGTCGTCTGTCATCCAGGAGTTCTCACCGACCGTCCAGCCTTCTCTCGATCCCCTGGCCGCTCGTTTGCAGGTAGTGGTTGCGGCGTGGACCTTCGAATTTCATATTATTACTAGGGCACGGTTGAACCGGTACACGCCTCGTGGAATCGTTTGAAAGCGAAACCAACGCGTGTGCGTGCGCAGGGCGGTAAGCGTGGAATCACCCGCCTGCCCGGACGCGTCGTGCACGGGTCTCGTGCAGTGGTGGTCGGGGGACGGACTCCCCAACCCGAAGGCTGGCCGCCCGCGCTGCCGGCCCGGGAACCACACGACTCGAGACGGCTAACGCGTCGACAAATCGCCATCGCGCGCCGCGTGCGTGGCCACTGTCCAGTGGCGAGATCGACCGAGACCGAGTCTCGTGACGCCAGACGGCCAGCGTGTCTGGCTTCGCTCTGGTCCAGTCCGGCAGGCCGCACGCGCCAACCAAGCCAACCGCCAAGCCCCCCACCTCAGCCCAGATATATCAAGTTCATTTAGCGTGCATCCTCAGCCCTCGTACAGTAGCATATTCGGACTCATTTCTATATTTTTTAAAGTTGTTTTTTATAAGAATAAATGACTACAAGTAAAAAAAAATCTTAAATATAATCTTTTGTCGTCGATTAGGTCGGCGGTATTCAATTCCCGCCCATTAGAGTCACGGTAAAAAGTACTACAGGCTACGGAAGGCCTTTTCCGTAGAACAACAACGTACTCGATACCGCTGGTATAGACGTTGGTATAGAAGTAGTGGCAACACTGGACAAGATAGTTGTAGAATAAATAAATATATTAGTTTTCAAATGGAGTTAAATGAAGACAAATTTTATAGAAAATGATGAATTCTAAAAATTCTTAGTTGATGACTTTTTCATTTGAGATTGATTAGGAGCTCAGATATATATTATATTAAGTTCTCAAATCTTGAAATTCAAAATTACAAATGTTTCAAATGACCTTGGATCAAGGCGCACACTATATCAAAGTTGTAGTGCTCACGAGATTTAAAACTTCATAGTTGAATTTTTTCACTATTATTTAGGACCTAAAATATTCAATACAATATTTATACATGTCTTGTATGGTTTTTTAAGACTATTCCATGTGTGCCACTAGTAACTAATGGTGTCAGTCACGAAGTTAACAAGGTTTTTAAGCGTGTTAACTAGACCGAGGACCGTGGATTGGTAGTGTGATAGTAAAGCCAGTTGCACGATACACCTTATGGTCTTATTATAAAAACTCGACCTATGGGGTGTATGATAGCCCCCCTCGCGGACATTGTGCTTAAGAAGAAGATCTTCTCACGTAGGTCGAGAAAACTTCCCGAACTTCTGCCTCCCTCTCCCATGCACAGCGACACCGTGGCTCCAATGAGACTGGGCTGGCCTTAGACCTATGCTTTGCGCATTATGATCTTATTATAGTTGTAGAGATGTAGATATTACAAGTATATCCATGGTAATATATATATATCGATTTGGCGGCTGAAGTGATGCAACCCGATTGACATGAGAGCAACTTTATACATCTATATATATTGTATTTCAAATATAACTGCTATTGAGGACCCTGCGCTCTAAATACTATTTAGAGAGCCGGGGGAGCTCCGCCCGTCTCCGGTGTGGTCTGCTTCGGTTAGTCCCCAGCCACATAAACCGTAAATTACCTAGCCCACAAGAGTAATTATTGCTACCAACCGTGTTTCAATTCTGCATATGCGTATGGTAGTAAATTGTTTCGTTCCTTTCACGTGCACGGTAGTAAAGTGAGGAGCCTTTTACTTCTAGGCCATTATAAAAGATCGTAATTCCTAGCGTGCCATTAAAAAAGTTATATAGATTTCTCAGACACAGTTCTAAACTTTTATTCCTTCAGTGCCACTGCCGTTGCTTTTGCCTCTAACTTCGTTAAAAAGGAGGAGGGGATGACCCAAATGCCCTCATCCGATGTGGACTACAATTTTTTGATTTCCTTCTACGCCACTGCTTGCTTTGGCTTTTCTGGTGGGAGATTTTGGCTCCAAAATGCCCTTCAGTTAGCGCCAAGTGAATGAATGAATGATGCAATGAAATTCATGGAGTCATGACAGAAGTAGAAAACAAAGTGGTCTCAAACACCTGACTATCCAGGTTCATCCATTACAGGTTTAGGTCACCTAGACCACAATTCAGTTTGACAACAAAAGCAAACTTTTTAGCCACCCAGACCACATTACAGGTTCTGGTCATCCAGACCACATTACAAGTTTGTAGACCACAAAATAAAGTATCTAGTTTCCAAACCACATTACAGGTTCTGACATCATCAAACCACATTAAGTCCTGGAACAACAAAATAACACAAAACAGAGCTCAAGCAAGGTTAAGTCTCTTCTTGCCACCCGGCCTTGCACCTATCGTCCCCCACAGCCTTCTCAGGTTTGTGTCATCAAAGCTTCATACACAGATTCATTTTAAGAGAAAAAGGCTCAATCGGCATCACAGGTAGGTCATATATATATACAAACTTTTTTTATGTCCAATTGCAACAACTAAATTTTAGCTTTTGAAACCTGGTAGATAATTATTGACATGCAGTGACTCATATATAAGGTGATATCGACTCGTAAAGATTGAAAATTCGTCTCGACTTCATCATCGGCTCATATTCAAATCTAAGCATAATGAACTTCAAGGACCTTTCTTGTCTATTTCAGTTTTCAGGGGAAAATAAAATTGATAATAGGATAGCTTTGAATAATAAAGCTCACCATCCCTTGAAGAAGATATATGGGGCATAAAATTTCACCGCAAGACATCAAGTAATTCAAGCTTCGGTTGAGTTTACTGTGGTACTCTGTGAGGTGCCTGCAAAGTAGCAGACAATTCGCTACATAAAGCACCTATTCATGATAAGATATTTTCACATGATCATCACATCATCTTGATGAAGAATATTTTACTATTGGAAAATTTTAACCCTACATATGGAAGGAATAAAGAAAAATATGTACCTGCATTCGTCTTTTATAAGCTAGAATCGTATATGTATAGAAATACGCATATCTACTAAACAATAGAGGCCTTTTATGTTGAATAATGGTCCTCTTGTCATCCCTCACACGTGGATTGATCAAACAGTAGGCATATGTTGATTCCTCTATAAACATGACAGAGGGTTTTGGAGTGCTGAAGTCACATGGTAAACTACTTGAGTTCCCACATCATTGTTGTGAGTTGCCATTGACTGTGTAATTCTCAAAAAAAAAAAAATTAAGCATACATTTTCATAGAATTAAGTTTGCATACTATTCCAATAATATGGATGTTTTCTTAATTATCCTATTCAACAATATGACCGAATCATTGGACTGCCAATGAAACATGGAAGCCTTTTGCTCATAGCTGGCAACAATTATTTCGACGTCATGGGCACCCTGAGCGAGCACGTGGCAGGCCTGATTTTGCTATATCCACCGAGGAAACCGGACTAAAAAGGATTTTCCTAGGGAATAAAATTGTGTGGATCATGGGTCCAAATCTCTCACATGGACCCCTATCCTTGATGGATGACAGGTGACATCCTAAAACGCTCATGTGGTCAACAAATCTATCAATTACATGCATAAATTTGGTTCCACAAAGTATTACCTTATTTAGATCAGTAGATTAGCCGTGTGATTAATTTCAGATACATATCGTCAATCAAGAATAGGGAGAGAATTGGACGCGGATGCATGCAATTTAATTCCTTTCCTAGACCCCAATTCATAAGCACCACGAACTCGTTCCAAACCAAACCAAAACAGGGCCGGGCCTGTTATAGTTAGTAGAAGGGCCCAGCAGCCCGCGAAGCACACAACTCTCTAGAGCCTGTAAAACAGCTTCCGGCCCATGAGTCCTCCGCATCGCTCACCCAGCCACACCCACGACTCGGCCTCGTGCCCACGAACCCGAACCCGAACCCACCTGCTCGGGCGACGCCGTCTTCCCCCTTTACCTTCCTTCCCCGGCGACCGAAGCCGCCACCCCAGCCTCGCCATGGACTCTCTCCTCGCCAGCTACGCCTCTTCCGACGAAGACGCCGACGAGGCCCCACCTGCTCCTGCTCCTGCCCCTTCCCCGCCCCCCCCCCGCCGCCGCCTCCGGTGGCGGCGCAGGCGGACTCTTCTCCTCGCTCCCGCAACCCAAGTCCGCCCCCGCCCCGCTCTTCTCCTCCTCCCGGCGCCCAAATCCACCCCAGCGCCGCTCTTCTCTCTCTCTCGGCTCCCAAATCCTCCCCCCCCCCGCCCCGCCCCTACCCCCATCCCCACCTTCTCCTCCATCCCGGCGCCCAAGTCTTCCGGAGGAAACCCTAAGCGCGTCGTCCAGTACCGCCCGCAGCCGATCCGGCAGCCCACAGGCGACAGCTCCGACGAGGACGAGGACGACGCCAAGAAGCGCCGCGCCAGCAACAACGAGGCGCGCTTACCACCCGTGTCGGCTGGCTCGGGGCCCGTGTCCTCGTTCCTCCCGCCGCCGAAGCACTCGCTCGGGCTCGTCGCCGGCTCTGGCGCCGGAGCCAGGAGGTCGGCAATCGATACGGCTGCGCCGGAGAAGCCAAATCTCGGCGCTGCCGTACCTTCAAGCTCGGTTGCCAACACAGGAGCCCCGGAAAGGCCCGACAGTGACGCGTCTGATGACGACGATTCGGACAATAGCGGCAATGAGGAGGACATGCCTGCTCCAGAGCTGGAGGAGGAACACCAAGAGCAGCAAAGTTTTAGTGCTGCAGCTGCAGAGCAGCAGCAAGGCCATGATGCTGGAGCTGGGAGCACTAGTGGATATGAAACCTATGCATGGGATCCAAACTACTATGCCCAATACGGTGCGAACTATGGCTGGGATCCTAGCGCCAGTGCAAATTATGCGGATGGAACACATTATTCCGCTGGCGCCAGTGCAAATTATGCAGATGGAACACATTATGCAGCATATGGAGGAGGGCAAAGTGGAGGGTATGCTAGTTCGCAAGGAGGGGAGCATGGCAGCGGATACGACCATGTTGTGGCAGTGCCATATGGAGTAGATTATACTGGAGGGTATGGTCATGAGGTAGCATCAACCACGTTGCCACCGGTGCAAGAACCAGTACTGCCACCAGAGATGGGTAGGATTGGAGGGAAGAGAGGTAGGAATGATATGCCGGCCCAGATTTTAGAGGTAAATCAAGCAGAGCTGATGAAGAACAGACCAAAGCAGGATAAGTCCAAGCTCACAGGGTTGGCCTTTGGTCCTAGTTATCAGGTACAGATTCATCACTCTTTGCTAATGTTTTCTACTTTTGTTGAGCACCTTTATGCTTTATTAGCTTATTATATGCTTGTGTTTCAATAGCTTAGTGCCAAATCCATTAGATAGAAGTGGGATGGCAAAGCTAGATTATTTGCTCTATGCTCATATTCCTCAAACACCAGAAACTAAAGCTACTCCTGTGTGTCGTGAGCCAGTATCAGATACTGTAGCTCAGTGCTTAATGACACAATCACACAATAGTATTTGTGCAGAAGCAATAATGGGTATGATACTAGTTCCCAAGCAATGATTCTTGAAAAATAGGCACACATATGCCACACTAATTTTATTTTTATTTTCATTGTAATTTTGATTTATCATGAAGCAAATAAAATACTTGACTACCAAAAATCTATGTTAGGTTGTGAAGTCATATTGTCAATGGTTTGATTGCCAGTTCTTAAGTGGAGTAACCGTAAAATAAAGTTCTTTAGTGGAATAAATGGCTACATTTTGTACTTTAATGAAGTGAAAAATCATTCTATTTGCACGTTATTTTAATAAAACGTTTGCCATATGAATAGTTATGCTTGTTAAGCTTGCTTATGGTCATCCAGAATTACAGGCAAATGGTATTTGTATTGTGTCTTACTTTTTTTGGGAGTGATTTCACAGCTTTATGCTTAAGTAAATTTTATTGTCACAAATAAAATGAAAGGGTTGATGCTTTGATCCTACAACCCTTGAAGAGATTTGCACAAATTTTGGAGCAAGGTTAAGTAGCTGGAATCCACCCTTGCTTTGTGGATTACGATACACACAACTCTCAAGGGGTGTAGGGGTGTAGCATGTAACGAAGTATATGTTTCTCCAGCTAACAAGTTGATACGTTTTCCCTCCTATGGGATTTGGGCACATGGAGAAATTGATGATGCACCAAGCCAAACTAGGTTTAGGCCATACAGTATACTCTTGAAATAAGAACAGGCTAAGAGTTTATTTTTGACTTTCTTTAAATTGGTCAATGGACAGAGATTAGCCTTTGTAAAAAAAAAAAAGAATTGGTTTGGTTGCCTGAACAATAAATTCACTTATGAACTGAAGTACTCTAGCTAGAAGGTCAGCATGTATCACCCTATGGTTCCACTGTTTCAATAACGTGTAGTAGTGAGGAAAATATTGATGCACTCCCAGGTCCTATAGGATCCCATACAGTTCTGCTATGGGAACCATGTTTTTGCATATCCAGCATTCCCAAGTAGTACAGCAGTACGCTTATTTTGCTGAATGACTATAAGAGAGCTCAAAATATTTCTGTTCATCATTGTCCATTCAATCCATCCTTTTGCATGAAGAAAATGTACTGTATAAATACATCAATGTTGTTATGGTCCTTACCCAAGATTTCACCTTGTGAACAGCCTGCCCCTTCCGCGAAAGGAAAGCCATCCAAGTTGCATAAAAGGAAACACCAGATCAGTTCTCTGTACTTCGACATGAAGTCAAAGGAGATGGAGCTTGCGGAGAGGCGTTCTAAAGGCATTCTCACGAAAGCAGAAACTCAAGCAAAATATGGCTGGTGAGCATGTAAGAAAAACTCAGGATACCTGTATGGGATCCGTTGAATTGAAATGTGCGGATTTTTGTTGCAAATTTTGTTGCAACTTTTACGGACTTTGTAAACCCAATGCAAAACAAATAGTTCAATGGTCAGTCAATGGTCAACAATATCGAGTCAACATACTAAAAGCATGCAGATAGCTTGTTCTTTTTCTACTTGTACTCCCAACTAAAAAAGTGTGATGTTTGACTATGTATACTATTCATAGCAACATACTTAAAAGCATGCAGGTAGTGTACTAGTGTGTCCACTGTCCATCCCAACGGCGATAGGAAGTGATGTAAAAAAAATAAAATAAAAATAAAAAAAACTGCAATAGGAAGTGTTGTAAAAAAAATGCAATATGAAGTGTTATAAAAAAAAATGCGATAGGAATAGGAAGGAAGCACGCGGAAATGGCTGCATACATACCAGGTGGTATACTGCTCATTTGAGTTAACAGTCACGTACAAACCAAAGCTAAAAGGCATACATTGGTTTCAATTAGTGAATGTTGGCCTCTGAAAAAAGTAATAGCTGAAGAGTGCATACAACGGATTTTGCGGTCATACAAGAAGGGATCGATAACACGTGATAGATGGTTCAGCAATGCAGCCAATATACGGAGACTGGAGTCTGGAGACATATAAATTACAAAAAAGACTTGTACTCAATTCAAAGGATAAAAAACGATTTTTTAATCACAATGCATGCACCTTGATTGTTTAGTCTGAAGTTGCTTTGTTGTTATGACAAGATGCTGAGGAACATAACAAATAAGCTGGAAAGTGCTTGCTGTCTGGGTACAAAATAAACGATCAAATTGGTATGACTCCAGTAGCTCATCAGTCAGAAGAAAACCAAAAGCCATCGGCCTGAATGGACGCAAAAGTAAAGCCACCAGTCCGACGAAACAAATAGAAAGAACAGGTGCCACATAATGGTCTTCAATTGGAAAATTACAAAAAGACTTTACATCGATCAACACGTTTTTAATAGTGGTCAATTAGTAACATCATGGACTTCTTAGTTTGAAGTTGCTTATGACAAGATGCACATAACAAAATGGCTGTCTGGGAAAATAAACGATCAAATTAACATGGACAGTAGCTCACAGCAGAAGAAAATCTTGCCAAAAGCCTGCATTTTCACGGATATCACCAGTCTGGAACATTAACCTCTTATGGTGTCACATAATGGTCTTCAATTGGAAGGTAGAACAAACTTTACATCGATCAACACCCAAGTGGTCAATTAGTAACATCCTAACAGTAACAGGCACAGAAGATGCACAGACAAATGGGCGGAAGACACAGTCTACAAAGTCTTGCCAAAAACTGTGCATTTTCACGGATATCATAGTCTGGAACATTAACCTCTTAAGTCCTTTCTAAGTCACGTTAAGCAAACACTTTTAATCCATTTCGTTGAAGTCAATACCATAGTTGCGAAACCATCCCTCCCAGAATGGAACGACGATATTCACACATAATAAGCAGCATTTAGCGACCACTTTTATTCCATTTCATTGATGTCAATGCCACTGTTACGTGACCATCCTTCTCAGAATGGAACAAAAATATTCACATACATAATGGGCATCTTTTAGGTCCCCTATACAAAGCGCCAAAGCTCGAGTTCAAAATAATTTGGCTATTTGGTCTATATAAACAGATTTATTTTCTCACTTCAAGAGACACAGAACCTACAGATCAATGGTACATTTGTTGGAAGTGAAACAAAATTCTGGAATCAACTTGCAGGAAATACTGTCTTCATAACGTTTGTTCAACAAGGCAGTAAACCATTTTGCTATCTATCCATTTCACATATCTCTGGATGTTGACTCAAAACTTTTACACTCAACAAGACGAGTAGCACACATTTGAAGTGAATTAAGGAGATAGATCCCTATATTAGGACAAACTAAGCAGGATTTCATTGTTGCACTGTGATATGGCAGTCACACACAATACAGATAAACAAAAAGACAACACTGCGATCAGTAAAAAGATGCGATCGCAAGCCAACAGTTAGATGCAATCCATGAACGCCAAATTTAAATTTGTCTGCATTCAACAACTAATCTTTGCACCCCTTGCAGGCAGAAGAGGTGTGAAGGATATCTCAAAATCTGTCGGGAGATATGCACTATCCGATTTCACATTTCAATTAGGCGTGCACAAACACAGGCAAATAATCATCGCTAACACAAATCACCACAGGCAATTAGTAATGACAACAAACAAATTGATCTGTAGCCAGCAGAGCTCTGCACCTAGGCCTACCGCGCTCCAAATGTACAGGGATTGAACCCCTCCATCCAGATGCATATGCAATTAGTCGAGAGCAAGCCGGTCGGAGCGATCCACGTTGGGACAGGCAAGACCGATCGGATCCGAAACGGCAGGGTTAGACTGGGAGCCGCAGACTCACCTCCGGCGCTGCCGGCGAGGGACGGGGCGGCGGATCTAGTGCTTCCCGCCGGTCCTCTCCATCTCCTCGAGGTGAGCGAGGTGGGCGCGCTCCCAGGGCAGATTGACGAGGTAGGAGAAGGCCATCCCTCCGAAGCAGACGTGGAAGAGCGGGTCCGGCGAGCTCGTGTCGATGTACTTCTCGATGTAGCGGTCGACGGCCTGGTCAGCGCTCTTCTTGACGTTGTCCCAGGTCAAGCGCGGCTTCAGGTAAGCTGGCACCTCGCGGACCTTCATGCCCCGGATCTCGTTGTACAGGGCACGCAGCGCCATGGCTGATCTCCTCTCGGCTCCGGCTCTCGCTCGCTAGGGTTTGCTCGTCGGCGTGGGTGGGTGGGGCTGCGGAGGAAGGGGAAGGCGAATTTGTTCGAGGAATGGAGAGCTGGGGTTGTTGGGCCGGGCCGGGCTTGTGTTGACTGGTGCAGTTGCTGGGGCATGGCTTTTTTGGGCCATGAGGCGCACGTGATGCCCAGAAGGCAGAGGGGGCGGCGGGCGTCTTCGTCCTCCTCCCTCCCGCGCATACCGGTCCGAGGAGATACAAATGGCGGCAACGCATCTGCCTCTCTTTCTCCCTCTGCTGGAGCACCGCCACCGACCGCAGGCTAAAATTAGCGAGAGAGGTGTGCGGTGGGCAGGCAGGCAGGGTATGGGGGGAAGCAGCAGGGGGTGGCGGCGAGGTGGCATTACCGATTGGAAGAAGGGAGGGAAGAGGAGGCGAGGGAGGGAGGACGAAGAGGGCGCATTGTGGGTTGGGTGATCACGGCCTGATGGGGTCGTGGCGCAAGGCCTACGGCGCCCTCAAGGACTCCACCACGGTTGGCCTCGCCAAGGTCAACAGCGAATTCAAGGTGAGCCATGGCGATGGCGATCCGATTTCTGTGGATTCTAAACTCTCATCAACTGATATCTGTGGATTCTGAATTCTCAACTGTTTGATGCTCTCTGTTTGGTCTGAGAAAAGGAATTGGATATTGCAATTGTGAGGGCAACCAACCACGTCGAATGCCCTCCCAAGGAACGGCACGTTAGAAGTGAGTAGTCATCATGTTCCTCCTTACTCTTGTACATTAATTGAATCTCCACGCCCCCAATTTCTGTGGTATTCTGATCTTCGTCTTGTGACGCAGAAATATTCTTGGCAACCTCAGCAAATTGCCCTCGCGCAGACGTCTCGTACTGCATATATGCATTGTCAAGGAGATTGTCCAAGACAAAGAACTGGATAGTGCGTGCTGTTCCTCGTTGCCAATCACTGATGATTCATCCACTTTGTTCGGTCTCCGTGTGTGGAATTCATCATGCCTTTAATTAACTCATATTCTATGTTTGCAGGTTGCGCTCAAGACATTGATAGTGGTACATAGGCTTCTGAGAGAGGGTGATCCCACATTCAAGGAAGAGTTTCTGGCCTACTCATCCAGGGGGAACATTTTGCATATAGCCAATTTCAAGGATGACTCTAGTCAATCAGGTGAGTTCTTGTACATCCTGCTGGGAATTTCTTTAATGTTCCTTCCCTGTGAACTATGAATGATGAATCAATTCATCCATCCTTAATTTGTCAGCTTGGGATTGCTCAGCATGGGTTCGCACCTATGCATTCTTCCTGGAGGAACGGCTCGAGTGCTTTAGGGTTCTCAAATACGACATCGAAACTGAGCGTCTTGTGAGATATCCCCAGACTTCTAGCAAGGTTCTTTTTTTTTGTCTTCTGAAATTTGCTGCACAGCATTTTGATGATATATAGAGATTTTGTCTCTCTTCTTTTTTATTATTAGAGATTTTGTCTTATGACTGCGTACATGTTTTGTAATCCTGACAAAAACAGGCACACAGTAAAACCAGGACCCTACCTAGCCCAGACCTTTTGGAACAGTTGCCTGCACTGCAGCAGCTGCTTTTCAGGGTTGTAGGCGTCCAGGTCTGACACGCCAAACCTCTACTGCTAAGCTTTCTTAAGTTGTTTAAGCTTGTTGAATGTCTGGTGTTCACTAGTTACATCCTTGTTGTCAATTTCAGCCTGAAGGTGCTGCCTGCTCAAATTACCTTATTCAGTATGCTCTAGCCCTGGTAAGCTGCAAACATCTTATTTCTTACAAATTATTCCCCTCTTGTAAGGCATTTTTTTTGTTCTAGGTCTCTTATTCAGCTCTTGCATTCCTTAGGTTCTGAAGGAGAGCTTCAAGATCTACTGTTCAATTAATGATGGCATCATCAATCTCGTTGATATGGTAAAGTAGCAATTCTACCACATGAATCATGGTTTCTTTGTCGCTGAATCATAATCATAATTTTCTTACTCCGGCTGGTCTGGTCCAGTTCTTCGATATGCCAAAGTATGATGCAATCAACGCTCTGGCAATTTACAAACGAGCTGGCCTGCAGGTGTGTCAGCATTTTTGTGATACTTAATTGAAGCTTAGCATGCCAAGCTTACCAAATAATTCTCAGAAGAAAATAGTTTTGATTTATCAAATTCATTCACAGGCAGAAAACCTTGCTGAGTTCTATGACTTCTGCAAACAACTTGAGCTTGCCAGGACATTCCAGTTTCCTACTCTCAGGCAGGTTAGTTAATTTGTCTCTACATCTTACCGTCTTGATTTAGAGCTGTTTTTATTACTGTTCTGCAGCCACCTGCTTTAGTTTTTGCAAAATGGAAGAGTTTTAGTAATGCGCTCATCACTACTGTTCTGCAGCCACCTGCATCGATTTTTTTGCAACAATGGAAGAGTACATCAAGAAAGCACCTCGACCCTCAATCAAGAGTGACCAAATTTATATAAGTAATAATAATATTTTGAGAAACAAGATTCTTCATTAGTTATATTTTGTTTTACCTATTTTGTCATCAACTCTTGATGCTCCTAATTTTAGTCAGCAGGAGAGCGAATAACTTACAATTTGGATGGAGGGAGTAACTCTTGATGCTCGTAAAGCAGGAGCCGAAGCTACTGACCTATGACGAAGAAGCTTCAGAGGAACCCGAAAATCCAGTGGAAGAGGAGAAAGTAGAACCTGAAGAAGAACCAGAACCTCAACCTGTGCCTGATCCAGAACCCCACCCACAGCAAACAACTGGGGATCTACTAGTATTCTCCAATCTTTTACCTGATTCATTTCTGCTTAGAAAAACTCTCGTGTACGTTTATCTGAATCGCTTTGTGTTCTTGGGTTTGCGTGAATGCAGAACCTGGATGCAGAGGTGAATCCTTCGATTTTGGAACTCGAAGAAAGCAATGCATTGGCACTTGCTATTGTAGCACCAGGTATCGTATGCACAATTTTACAAGTACTACTATTGACACAATTGAATACCAAACTATCAAATAATCTTTGATCTGCATTGCTGGCTTGCTGCTATTAAGCGATGAAACGAGAAGGAAATACCAATAGTTTTTCTGGTTTTGCTGGTAGGTGACTACAAGGCGTCAGCAACTCAAAGTATGTTTGATGTCAATTTGTCTGGGTGGGAGCTGGCACTGGTCACTGCTCCAAGCACCCATACAAGCCAAGCAGTTCAGACCAACTTGGTATGTACAATCATTGCTCTATAAGCTGCTTTTCAGATATCCACCTTGGGGGGCAAATTCAGAGTAACCCAGAGATAAAATCACTTACAGATATAATTTCATCTGATCAACAGGCTGGAGGCTTTGACAAGCTGCTACTTGACAGCCTCTATGAAGACGAGGCAAGGAGGCAGCAGATCGCCAGCGTGACCTACACCGGTAGCCTAGGAGCACCCAACCCTTTCGGCGCCAATGCCAACGATCCGTTCGCCATGTTCAGCAGCTTCGCACCACCGGCTCATGTGCAGTTGACACTGATGACTCAGAACCAACAGCAGTACTACCAGGCGCAGCAGTATTTCCAGCCACAGCATCAACAGCAGTTTCTCCAGCCACAGCATCAGCAGCAGTACTTTCAGCAGCATCAACAGACGTCGGCAATGCCAACACTAAACATGTACCACCACCAGTATCAGTACTCTGTGCCTCCATCTGGAGCTTCAAACCCGTTTGGTGATCCTTTCAGTGACCTTGCCCCAATGGGTGCTCCTGGAAAACAGAGCAACTCAGTTTTTCCCTGAACTGGTTGCTACTTCTGATCATTCAATTGAGTAGAGCAGCAAACCTGTACAGCACGAGTTTCTTCGCTGAGTGGAGGTGTTGTATATTAACTTTTTTTTTTGCAATATCCAAATCTTCAAATATGACATGATTAGTACGAGTTCTATGCTGAATAGTTTTTAGGAACTATAAGTTTCAGTGTATAATGAAACCATGCTGCCAGACTCATCAGAAGAGTAAAACTGTCACTGGAACTCACAACAAGACCAGGTTAAACTATAACGTGTAATTGATTTCATAATCTCTCGTGTCTACAAAAGAATTAACCTTATAATAACAGTAAGAACTGACAAAACCCCTGTTACTCAGGATATGGGAGCTAGGAATCTAAGAATGAGATAGAGAGAGAGGAGAGAGAAAGAAGTGAAGGGCTAACAGAAACATACAGTCATACAGAGGGCACCACGAATGACAGGGAGGGCAGCGTCAATACTAAACAAACAGCACCTCAGCCCTACCAAAGGGACTCAGAATTGCATCACTGGCCCTGGATCTGTAACTCTGTGTTAAGCCTCTAAGTATTAATTTCACAATTTACATGAAGCGAAAAAAAAAAGAAATCCTAGGGGAATCTCCTAGGCCAAATGCCAAAAAAAAATCATGTAGAACTCAAGCCGATGTGTAACTGGAGAATAGCTTCAGCAGGTTGTTCAGAGATTCCGGGTAAAACTTTCTAGCAAAAAGGTAGCATGGTCTTTTTGTTCCATTCCACATACATGGGGTCCGTGTCATAACTTTCTGCAATGAAGAAAAAGCAATACATCAATATTCCATAAAGATGCTACAACACAGCCACGTGTCATCCATCCAAGGTAAAGAGTCCATGGGAGAGAACTGGACCCTGGGTATATACAATTTTATTCCGTGTTTTCAAGTTCAAAATCTGCTGAATTATTTGAGCGGGACATTCTTCAGCATGCCAAGTAAGATAGATGCTACGATACAGTATTTTTCAAGTTCAAAATCTGCAGAATTACTTGAGTGGGACATTCTTCCGCATACCAGCTAGCGGTTGGAATCAAGTATCATTTTTAAAGGAGAATTAAGTATTCTAATGCACCATAAAAAAAAGGTAATCACATGCATTTACTTTGAAACAGGCCTATATTAACTATCCAAATACAAAGGTTGACACCTTGAGTGCAAGGCATATGAAAACATCAAATATTCTTTGGTGTTCTTGTATAACTACAGTAACGCAGCAATCATTACCAAATCCTAGTAAAGAGGTAATAGCAAATTCCTATGTTGTGCTTGAGAGATAAGGAGGAACTGATATGCTTACCTTATCATCACTTGTAATGTGGAAATTCTCATTGACAGACTGCACAAAGTAAGGCAAACAAATCAGTATGAAGCACAATGAGTTGAGGGCAGGTGGGAACATATTTTTTTCCAATAGCAAGATAAAGGCATACCGTTATATTCTTTAAGAGTTGATAGGTAACATCTGCAGCTCTATATGACCTTGGATGCCATTTTCCCTCGGACCAATCAACATGAGTCACTGACCAGTTAGCTATTCCACCAGGATCGACCATCTGAAGATTAAAGCACAACTATACTAAAAAAGGAAAGCAAGGGATCGAGGAGAAAAAAAAGGCAAAGAACAGTTGAAAAGAATTACTAACATTGAAGAGGGTTGGCAAATAATGCTCATCAGCAATACAGTTGCGTCCCTCTGCTGGCTGCAAATAACAAAAGCAAAGACATTGCTTAGCTAAAACCAAGTTTTAAGATGTCATGAATTGTTCTAATACGGTTAAACCCATGACAACTGGTTGTGGTAACAAATATATGTAGCATGGACATGATGCTGGTAGCCTGTCATGTGACAATTGGTATGAGATGTAACATACTCAGCTCTGTCAGTTATTAATCAAGCCTGTCTGCTGTAGTTGCACACTAACACAATAAATGAAAAGGGAACTCTCTTTGGGTTTTGTGAGGGTATGCTCAAAGCATACTCCCCTTTTAACTCACTAGCCTCATTGCCAGAAGCAGTTAGAACCACAGGACATAAGTTTTTTCCCCAATTTTCCTAATTTTAGGCCACCTATAAACTACTATACTGAAGTTCCATGATGATATGTCTAAACTGCAGATCTAAAAGAAGTCCTAGCTCTGTTGTCGACTTATTTGCAGTTAGCATACGAAACATAGTGATCATCACCAAGCACTATAAGCAAATATTTGCATAACTTACATCCAGTTTCATTCAATTAAAGAATACCTATGTGAGGGAACATACCTTGCAGTACAGCTTGAACTTATTGTAGTAAAGGTTGTCTGCCAGAATCAATAAAGCGTGCCTTCGTGTTATAGCAAACCACTACAGCAAGCACAAAAAATTATTCAACAAAAGCATGAAAAAAAAAAGTGATCACGCATCAATATGAACTACCATGTCCTGATTATAAGACGGCAGAATTATGAATACTTTGAAGCACCAATCATTCTATTAAACATGTACCTGGGCACCCTTCCTGAAGTCCCTCTGTTCTATTTCAGGAAGCATTTCCATCGAATACCTTCCAGTTCCATGTGGACCAGGATCGAGGAAGCTGATAACATTGACAAGATCAGAATAAACATGTGAACTTATTTTCATTTCAGTTAATGAAGTTAGATAAAACTGGGATAACTCATTGATTTACTCTTTATTAGAACAAAAGGCATATCTTATCTAGGCTATCATTCCTTTTTAGTAACATATGCCAAGAATACCATTGTCCCTGAAAAACAATGTGGGATAGAACATAGAAGTATTCCTAACTAAAATATAAATAAAATTTACCACAAAAATAGGACTTCAAGTGAATTTGAAATAGGTGTCTCGTCAGCAATAGGGGAAATAAGCAGAAGTTTCACTAGTTTTCAAATATACATGTATTCCTGTTGACATAAGAATCGAGAATATAAGTTGTAGCAAGTAGTAATCTTACCAATCAATGAAGCTGACATTGGTTCCCATCAGATAATTATATATGTAATCAAATGTATGTAGTGGAACACAGCTGTCATACAAGAAAAAAGTTTTATTAAATTACTCGCAAAAGAATTGAGAAAAGAGCTCTTTTGCCTGCAAAATCATTTAGAACCTGTCAGAAAGCAAGACGAAAAATTGATTATCAACATCTTCCAATGCATTTGCTAACAGCCTCTTCTCTGCATCAACCATCGAAATCCTCCCCCATACTACCTACAGTTCAGTGACATTTAAGTGTTACATTCCACAGAAGCAAACATGTAGCAAAAAAATAATAGAATAATGTCAGAGAAAAGGAAGCAACATGGAAAAGAAATGGTAAGGATCATTTGTATCAGTGAAACTTTAGAAGACAGGATTCAATGCATTCCATAAAGGCTAAAACAAAAGTTGAAGTTAGATTAAAAGCTTACCCATATTTAAGTCCATTCAATGCAAAAGTAATCTCACTTATAGCCCTCAAAAACTAACCCAGCTGCTTTTAGATCATTTCAGTTTCCCCTCACGTATTGGCCTTTCTTTTTCTCTACTCTCAGTGTTATACCATCCAATCTTCCCCTGTCTCACCGTTGTTAACTCCCAGTGCCTTAACAACTAATGGTCCTAACTCCATTGTTTCATTTAAATCCCATTGTAGCTTCATAAAGCGTGTAAGAAAAACTCTTAACAATACAGACATTAAAAATAAAGTACTCTATACATGTAAGGCTGAGAAACTTGGTCGCTAAGATGGGTAGCATAAAACCTCTCTTTTTCCTATGACTGTCTGGTTGATTTCTGTAATATAGTTAGCAACTTAGCATAATTATGTTCTACTTTAAATAGACATTGTTGAATCACGTGGAATTGAATCTAGAGACTCATCATGTCCTCCTTCTGCTTAGTCTTATCCATGTCATACACAATGGCAGCCTTAGACAGATAGGCTCTACTAAAGTTTCTGGCAACAAAATGGTCGATCTATTAGTGTTATAAATGTCCACTAAAAGGACAATATGAAGAAAAAATGATGCACCATTTTCTTTTTTTTAGCAGAGGTAAACCCTGCTTTTATAGAAAGCATATAAGAGTACAAACAATGTTTAAACTCACACAAAAGCTACGGCCGGGGTTACCAGCTTACAAGATTCGCACGCCAAAAGGACAAGAAATGCACCATTTTCTTCTTCCTCAACAATCACAAGAATGGTCAAGGCATGATTACATGTTTACAGATAAAGCAAACTAAAGCACTTGTAAAGGGGTGTGAAGGAGTACCTTTTCACTGTGAATTTCGCGCCCAACAAACAGAGAGCTAGAATGTACAGGTTTTTCACGAGATGCATGGATATAGATGGAATATCGACCATCATGACTCTGTGCAAAGAATTTCGAGCAAACTAAATAAACTATTACAAAATGGTGACGGTACAGCAGACATAATACAAACTTCATATTTATTAACTCCAAAATTAGATGATGGGTATATTAAGAACCACACCTGTAAAAATTTCTCCCACAACCTCTCAAAAGGCATTGTACCTGGTGTCAAGAACATAAAGGCAATCTTTGGGTTCTTTGACACAGCCATAGGCATCAAAAGAAGATCCCTAATAACCACTGCTGAAACTATCTCTTCATCAGTTTTCTCCCGAGCAACAGCAGGTAGCCAATCCTTGAACGGAGTACAGACACTCGAAGCAAAGAAGTAGCATGCGGAGTAGCGTCGTGGTGGGTAGACATAGGCCCCCATAAGGGAAACACAAACCAATGACAATAGCACTATGATCCACATGGGCTTCTTAGCAGCGCCTCGGTGGCGCGGAGGGGGCATGGCTGTCATGTCCTTGCTGCTCCGCCCCCACACCTGTTTCATCTCCTCGCCATTGACAAATCACAACATATGCCTTGTGGTGACAGACTCCACCAATAATACAATACTACATGCCACGCAGTAACCTGTAACCAAGGTGAAGTACGTTGTGCCCCAGAGTTGCCTCTTTTTTCTGCAATGCAAGGTACCCACAGCGTTAATCCACGAACTGGGAAAGCTCCAAGTCACGCCACTATCAAAAACAGCAAGCAAATTGTGATGCAATACTACAAGCCTATAGCACATCACCCCTCTACTACAACCTACGAGATCTGCTACTTGTCTTACGTCGGTCATTATGATGTTCCAACTTGCTTGGCCCTGTGACTACATACAGTGCGGTTTAACACGATTCGAACGGCCAAAACCAATAGTTCCAAATCGTTTAACTGTCCCATCGATCAGAACAACAAAAACAGTTTGCGATCCCCCTTGCACAAATCAAATCATACCCACCATAGAAGGTGGACGAGTCCAAACAGTTGGCACCCAAAAGTCAACTCCTAGCTACATCCCACGCTGCCAACAGCAACACGCTCCGCGTTCCGAATCCAAACCCAGGCATGACCACCCCAAACGAACCAAATCAAACGCTCAAGCTGAAATCGCCTCGATAATTCACGCGAAAACCGAAACGCCACGACCAGGACACACAGGAGCAAGCATGAAGCCTCTATAGGACGAAACCGTCCCCGGAGCACCCCCAGCCAATGCGAGGAGGGTAGCAGGAGGGCCTGGTCGAGCTCAACCGTCGCGGGAAACTTACCCTGGCCCGGGCGTGCTGCAGCGCGAGGAGCGGTGAATCCAGCGGGGCGCGTCCCGGGGCGCAACGGGCGGCGGGATCTGGTGCCTGCCGCCGGCGAGATCGGGCTAGGGCTCGCACGCGGCGGTGGTGGGGGACGAGGTGGAGGTGGTAGTGGAGGCCTCTGAGGGGAAGGGGAAGGGGAAGGGGAGAGGAAGGAGAGGGATTTAAGGAGTGGGATTAATTAACGGCGGAGTGGATTTAACTATTCTGTTAAGGCGTTATGGGCTTATGGCTAGCCCTCGGGCGGGTTACACACGGTTTTTTTATCGACTGTGACTTTAAGCATCTCCAACGGTAATATTTCTATATTTATATCTATATCTCTATATCTATACATCTATATCTACATCTATTTTTTTCGTCCACCTTTCCATAACTACCAATAATCGAGAGTTTCTTCCATCTAAACTTATATATATAACTCGTGCTTATATGAATTAGAATAGCTCTGATCTAGCGTGATATGGGGTCCGATTATAAAATGTATTGCATTATGTATGTTCTATGTTTAAACAAAGAGTCCATGCTCATGCACAAAAGAAGTCCATTACTATATAAAAAAATACGATCGCTATATGTAGTAAATTTGTTTTTTTCCTGGGCCTTTTATGTTTTTTATACTATCTCCGATCAGTTATTGTTTTCGATCCATTTTTCATTTTCGTTTTGTTTCATTTCTTTTTCATTTCCTCTTTTTGTTTTTTCTTCTCCTTTTTCTCTTTTTTTCTCTTTTCTGGACTATCAGGTCTGTTTCATGCCATTTTTCTTATTATTTTGCATGTCATTTTGTTTTCCCGATTCTCTCATGATTTTTCTTATAAACATAAAAATAAATAATAAACATAATATTACGGATCTTTGATCCTTCATCCTTCCCTAATCCTTAATAATCAAATATTCCTACTACTAAATTATTGATGTAATTTAATTAAGAATAAAAATTATTCTTATTATAACCTAGATCAGCTAATGGTCTCATTAATTAAATCATGAATAAAAATCTTTGGCAGTTCATTGTCCAATCTAACTGGGAAGTGATAACGGGGGTTGCGCCGCCAGCAGATGTGGCGCCGCGAGAGGCTATGGCGGCCGGGCGCCTAGACGGCCACGAGGACCTGTTAGGGGTGGGGAGGAGGTGGCGGATGTCGGTGGCAGCAACAGCGAAGCGGACGTAGATGTTAAGGCCCCGCCCTAGCGAGCGAGGCGGGCTATTGCAGGGATTCTTTTCTGCTAAACTTTTCCCCTCTTTCATTATAATTAAATATGTTTATATATTTAATTCAAAAACAATATATGTTTATATATTTCTACTTATTTTCCACGATATAAGAAATTTGCTAATTTGGCTGGTGTTGGTATTTATTAACATGTCACTTGTTTTAGTAGCCACCTAATGAATGTCTACATCTCTAAACATTACTTTACCAGGTTGTCATCCCTAGTGATGATACCAGAGATGTTTGTTGGTACTACTTAGCATTATCACTAGAATAATACTAAGTAGTTCTTTATTATTTTATGTGACTAGGAAGAATATATGTGTGTATATATAGGGAGAATATATTCAGTAGCCAGCTACAAAATAAGTTATTCCGTAGCCACCTCCATTTACGATAATTTTATATACTAATTTACGATAATGTCAATACATATTTACGATAGTTGGGTTATTATAACACATGAAGATATTTACCATAACGTTATAGTAAAGCACTTAGTATAAAGTTACTATAATATCATAAATTAACATAGTAATTATCGTAACTCAAAGTGGCTACAGAATAAATTATTTTGTAGCCAGCTATAGGGTAGTAGTTCTATATATATATATATATATGAAAGGGATCTACAAGCGCACAGATAATATACCATTATAGCACTTCACCCGAAAGTATTCCAAGTATCGTTATTTAAATTTTTGCCACAGGGAAGGTCTGGCAAAGACATATATTGATAACTTATGCTATTGATAGACAAGTAAACCATAACCAATATTCTACTCATAACAGGGGTAAGTCAAGAGGTAAATGTATATATGAATAGTGCATAATAACTAATCTTTGATCCCTCATAGTACTTCTTTCTAAGGAATTAGCATGGTTAAGTAGAATATTAGATGAATAGTTCCTAAGTCATTCTTAATTACAAGTCCTGGCATATATTGATTAGTACAATTACACTTAGTAATCATGACTAAGATCAACTTCATATCTACACATAAGAGATATTATTAAGGAAGATTAAGAACTGAGCTTGTCTTCCTTCGTAACTAGATCCTACTTGTCCTATATTCGGGGAGTGGACTACAAAGGACTCAACGGGAGTGTCACATCCGAGATCTACAAGTAGCATATATGAGTGAAAGTTTTCCTAGTCGAAATATCATATTTGGCTCTGGTAGAAATTCGAGCTTTGTCATATAGGAACTCATCATGAAGCATTTTTATGTTTTTCAAAAGAAATCTTTAGAACTTTAGTATCACTTAGAACAAAATAAAAAACAGCTCAGACCTTCTCATATCATATCCGTCAATTACCTAGATTTAGATCAAGCACATGCTACCCACGAGTTTTAAATTCAGAGTAAATTCTTATATCAAAACAGTCGTATCTAAAACTCAAGAGAATTCAAGGCTGAAAACTAGTTACTTTAAAAGAATTACAACAAAGCAACTATTCATCATTTCCATTATAGGAGATTATCCTCAGAGTCCATTTATTTAGCTTTTAAAAATCTAAACACACATTTTATTTTGTTTTCTCATTTTTTTCAAATCACACCTTACTAATATATATAAGATAAAGAAATTTTTATTTTGCTTTTAGTTAGGCATCATCTTTTTTAGCAAATGTAAAGTAAACTTAAAAATAACAAAAGGAAAGAAATACTTAGCTAGAACATGGGGGATGCCTTTCCCCCAAGCTAGATGTTGGCGTGGTCGAATGTTGAAGTTGAGTGATCCTTCTCAAAGCAGATTTGCCAGCGGATGCCCCTCTCGTCCCGAGATGAGATGAGATGAAGACAATCGGGTGAACTTGCTCTTGATCTTTGTGCATCATCCTGTATAATACTAACAAGAATACCAAAACTCATGGAACAGATTAGGATAAGGGGTTAGCGATCAACCGTCCAGAGATTAGTTGTTCTTAAGGGTTAGAAATATTTTTGTATTGAAAGAATTTTAGCAGGATGTTTACCTAATATATTTTGGATTTTCTAATTTATGATATGCAGAACAAAAAAAATATGTATGCATGATATTTTTAATTTTTTATGCCACCACAGTGAATATTCTCAAAAGTATTTACACCGTAGATTTATTCACATGTGGCTTAGGATTTATAATGCAATGATAAAATGCAGTCATGAAACTTTTAATCTTTCTTTTATTAGCATAATGTAAATGCAAGAAAGTAAATATGCTGAAGTGAAAAGAATAATTCATGCAATGCTAGAAAGTAAATATGGATAACTACCAATTTTACCTCCCAGCAAGGGTTAGAATTTTTAAGTCCTCCGGACAGGACTCTTCTCCTATCTTGTTCATTCTTTTGGTGCACCTGTCGGTTCCGGGGATGGAGACCTTGATGGTTGCACCTTTAGTGATGGTGACTCTGATGATGTCACCTTTTCCTTCACACTTGCTTCGTCTGTGGACTGGTCTTAGGCGGAGTAGGTTTATCTTTCACAACTTCTTCAGGTTCTTCATCTTCTTTCCATTCTTTTCTTGGGGGTTGATTTCTTTGGCGTCGGGATGATCGATGTCTCCCCCTAGAACGGGTCTTCTTTGGCTGTTCATAAGTGGTATAACTATTGAAATAGCAGCATACCTTCTCTCTAGGGAATTAAAAGTGGACTTGTCCAGATCTGACGTAGATGATCGCATTTGTGGTATTGAGGAACACTCTTCCAAGGATGATGGGTGTGTCGTCTTCTTCTTCATCCATGTCTAGAACCATGAAGTCGGCAGGGGCATAGTGATAATGTATTCTTACCATGACATCTTTTGCTATTCCCTTAGAAAATTGGATTGATTGGTCCGCCATCTATAATTGCATATATGTAGGAAACAAAGGTTCATCACAAAATAAGTATTCATACATTACCTTGGATATTATATTAACACCTGATCCAATGTCGCAGAAGGTGTTGTGGAAGATTCTT